TTGGAAAGTTTCAGAAGAATAGGTATTAATTCTTCCTTCAGTGTTTGGTAGAATTCCCCTGGGAAGCCATCTGGCCCTGGGCTTTTGTTTGTTGGGAGATTTTTGATGACTGCTTCAATTTCCTTAGTGGTTATAGGTCTGTTCAGGTTTTCTATTTCTTCCTGGTTCAGTTTTGGTAGTTGAAACATGTCTAGAAATGTATCCATTTCTTCCAGATTATCTAATTTGCTGCCACAGAGTTGCTCCTAATATGTCTTGTACTTGTTTGTATTTCTTTGGTGTTGGTTGTGATCTCTCCTCTTTCATTCATGATTTTATTTATTTGGGTCATTTCTCTTTTCTTTTTAATAAATCTGGCCAGGGGTTTATCAATCTCATTAATTCTTTCAAAGAACCAGTTCCGAGTTTCGTTGATCTGTTCTACTGTTCTTTTGCTTTCTATTTCATTGATTTCAGCTCTGATCTTTATTATTTCTCTTCTCCTGCTGAGTTTAGGCTTTATTTGCTGTTCTTTCTCCAGCTCCTTTAGGTGTACAGTTAGGTTGTATATTTGAGACCTTTCTTGTTTCTTGAGAAAGGCTTGTATTGCTATATACTTTCCTCTTAGGACTGCCTTTGCTGCCTCCCAAAGATTTTGAACAGTTGTGTTTTCATTTTCATTGGTTTCCATGAATTTTTAAAATTCTTCTTTAGTTTCCTGGTTGACCCATTCACTCTTTAGTAGGATGCTCTTTAGCCTCCATGTATTTGAGTTCTTCCCGACTTTCCTCTTGTGATTGAGTTCTAGTTTCAAAGCACTGTGGTCTGAAAATGTGCAAGGAATGATCCCAATCTTTTGGTACCAGTTGAGATCTGATTTGTGACCTAAGATGTGATCTATTCTGGAGAATGTTCCATGGGCACTAGAGAAGAATGTGTATTCTGTTGCTTTGGGATGGAATATTCTGAATATATCTGTGAAGTCCATTTTGTCCAGTGTGTCATTTAAAATCTTTATTTCCTTGTTGATCTTTTGCTTAGATGATCTGTCCATTTCAGTGAGGTGGGTGTTAAAGTCCCCCACTATTATTGTGTTGTTGTTGATGTGTTTCTTTGCTTTTGTTATTAATTGCCCTATATAAGTGGCTGCTCCCATAGTAGGGGCATAGGTATTTACAATTGTTAGGTCTTCTTGTTGGATAGACCCTTTAGGTAGGATAGAGTGTCCTTCCTCATCCCTATTACAGTCTTTGTTTTAAAATCTAATTTGTCTGATATAAGGATTGCCACCGCAGCTTTCTTTTGATGTCCATTAGCATGGTAAATTGTTTTCCACCTCCTCACTTTCAATCTTGGGGTGTCTTTGGGTCTAAAATGAGTCTCTTGCAGGCATCATATCAATGGGTCTTGTTTTTCTATCCAATCTAATACCTTGTGTCTTTTAGCCCATTTACATTCAGGGTAACTATTGAAAAATATGAATTTAGTGCCATTGTATTGCCTGTAAGGTGACTGTTACTGTATATTGTTTCTATTCCTTTCTGGTCTATATTACTTTTAGGCTCTCTCTTTGCTTAGAGGACCCCTTTCAACATTTCTTGTCGGGCTGGTTTGGTGTTTGCAAATTCTTTTAGTTTTTGTTTTTCCTGGAAGCTTTTTATCTCTTCTATTTTCAATGACAGCTTAGCTGCATATAGTTTTCTTGGCTGCATATTTTCTCATTTAGTGCTTTGAATATATCATGCCAGTCCTTTCTGGCCTGCCAGGTCTCTGTGGATAGGTCTGCTCCCAGTCTAATGTTTCTACTTTTGTAGGTTACAGACTTCTTGTCGGAGCTGCTTTCAGGATTTTCTTTTTCTCTGAGACTTGTAGGTTTTACTATTAGATGTCGGAGTGTTGACCTATTTTTATTGATTTTGAGAGGGGTTCTCTGTGCCTCCTGGAATTTGATGTCCTTTTCTTTCCCCAAATTCAGGAAGTTCTCAGCTATAATTTGCTGCAATATACCTTCTGGCCCTCTCTCTCTCTCTTCTTCTTCTGGGATCCCAATTATTCTAATATTGTTTCATCTTATGGTATCACTTATCTCTCAAATTCTGCCCTTGTGATCCAGTAGTTGTTAATCTCTCTTTTTCTCAGCTTCTTTATTCTCCATCATTTGGCCTTCTATATCACTAATTCTTTCTTCTGTCTCATTTATCCTAGTAGTTAGAGTCTCCATTTTTTATTGCACCTCACTAATAGCCTTTTTAATTTCAACTTAGATTTTAGTTCTTTTTTTCTCCAGAAAGGGATACTCTGGTATCTTCCATGCTTTTTTCAAGTCCAGTTAGTATGTTTATAATCGTCATTCTGAACTCTAGGTCTGACATCCTACTAATGTCCGTACTGATTAGGTCCCTGACAGTTCGTATTGCTGTTTGTTCTTTTTTTTTTTTTTTTGAGGTGAGTTTTTCCATCTTGTCATTTTGTCCCGAGGAGAATAGATGAATGAGAGAAAAAAATGCTAACAGGGTAAAAATGACCCCAGAAAAGTATTCACTAAACAAATCAGAAGAGACCCAAAACCAGGGGAAAAAGAAAGGGAAAGAAAAAAAGAAAAGAAATATGATCAGGCTGGTAATAGATCAGAGCCACACACTAGAGTTTGGGTGTATTTTTGTCTGTTAGAAGAAACTGCCTCCCAAAATTTTAAAGAAAGAAGAACTTATATATGTACAAAAATAAAGGTAAATATAATGAAGGGATGGAGTATGATTTTAAAGATGAAAATTATAAAAGATTTTATAAAAGGAATTGATAAGAAGTTGGTTGAAAAAAGAAAGAAGAAAAAAGGGGGAGGAGAATATGATCAGGCAGGAGACTATAATAAAGCCATACACTAGAGATTTAAGGTATATTTTGTTCTGCTAGAAGAAACTGTATCCCAAATTTTAAAGAAAGAAAAAATTATATATATACAAAAAATAAGGTTAACTACAAAGGAGGGATAGAATATGACTGGAAAAGTGAAAATTAAAAAAGATTTTAAAAATTGAATTGATAAAATACTATGTTGGTTGAAAAAGGAAAGAAGAACAATTTTAAAAAATAGTAAAAAAAATAAAGAAAATTTAAAAAATTAACTTTGAAAGACTATTGAGTCATGGGGGGAAAAGCCATGAATTCTGTGTGTAGTATTTCCCTAGTGCTGGAGTTCTGCTGTTCTCATTGATTGGTAAATTTGGTCTTGGCTGGTTGATCTTGCTGATCTTCTGGGGGAAGGGGCCTGTTGCCATGGTTCCCAAATGTCTTTGCTGGAGGCAGAATTGCCCTGCCCTTGCCGGGTTGGGCTAAGCAATCCGCTTGGGTTTGCTCTCGGCAGCTTTTGTTCCCTGCAAGCTTTCCGTAAAGTTTTGGAGAAGGAGACTGAAAATGGCAGCCTCCCAATCTCTGCCCCGGAGGAGCCGAGAACTTGGGGCCCCGCTCCTCAGTGAGCCCCCAGAGAAAAGCAGTCAATCACTCCCATCTCCCTGGTCTCCTGCCACACTCCGTGCTCACCCAGCCTGTGACTGAGCGTTTCTATCTCTGGGCACCCGACCCCGTGTGGAGACTCCAAACCCAGCAGAGTCCTGTGGTGTGCTCCCATGTTGCAACTCCCAGGGGAGGAGGGGAGTCTCCCCGGATCTGCCACTTGTTGGGTCCCTGCTGGAAGAGCACTGGCCCGACTGCCTAGCAGATCTCGGTTTATAGCAACCCTGAGCTCAGAGCCCACTCCTCTGCTCTGTCTCTGCAGCTGGCTTCCCCGTTCTGATACCTGGGAGCTCTGCCGCACTCAGGCACCCCTGCTCTTTCTGTGACCCCAAGGGTCCTGAGACCACACTGTCCCAGCGAGGGTTCCACTCCCTGCTCAGCCACTGGAGCAGCATCCCTCAGCGGAGCCGACTTCTAAAAGTTCCGATTTTGTGCTCCGTGGCTCTATCATTTGCCAGTAGTGGCTGAGAGAGGCCCCCTCCCCTGCCATCTATCTTCCTGAATATCGCCTCAGATTCACTTTGCACATCCTACCTTCCAGAATGTGGTCGCTTTTCTGTTCATAGAGTTGCTGCTGTTCTTTTCTTTGATCTCCTGTTGAGTTTGTCAGTGTTCAGAGTGGTTTGATAACTATCTGGCTGAATTCCTGGGACCAGATGAAATTAAGGTCTCCTACTCCTCTGCCATCTTGCTCCTCCCCCCCCAGGATTACTCTTAAAACTAGTAATGCAGTGGTTGGATTTAGTGTGCTATGTTTCTATAATAAATGTAAGATTTCAAGAAACTGAAACACAATTATCTACAAAGGGAACAGCTATGGTATCCCAAGTCAGTGGGGGTTACTCCCCCAAGCAAATTGGTGTTACCTCCTCAGCTAGCATATGTTGCTCTCCAGCCAGGGATTTGGAGCAGGGAGTGAGACCTGGAGCTATGGATGCACAGAGAGACTTTCATGTAATCTAGATCTGCCACACTGAAACGTTTTGATGTCATTGTGTGGAAAGGGAACCCTAATATGTCTTGACTTCTGCCCCCATCAGTGACTTGTGTTAGCTCTAGAGTTGTCTAGGTCACATGTGATTTCGCCAACCCACCTGCAGCCTGCTTCAATGCTGCTTTGTAGATGGCCAGCCTAAGTGCTGATTCCATTCTTGTCCTCTCTCACTGCTCAGACTTGACAAGGACCTGTGAGCTTAGTCGTTTGACCTGGTCCCCTCCTGTCACTCAGTCCTCAGGCCATCTCTAAAAGTCCCAACAAAACCCATCTCGTCTAGCACATCTCCCAGTGTGCCTTCCTCTGAAATACGTTCCTGTCTTTACCATCCTGACACCCTGAAATGAAGCTATTGAAAATGCTTCTGGCTCTCCCTGTTTTGACTCTCTCACTTAAATTAACATTGAGCACAGTAATGAATGGCCACTACACCTCTCCTAACTTCCTCAGAGAATATTTTTCTTGACAGGAATGACTGTTTTGAGCATTGACACAAGCATACTTTTCTTTTAAGGATCTGTCTGGTGAGCCTATGGCAAAGATGTCCCTGGAAGAAATAAATGATCTCCAGCTGGTGGGAAAATACATACAACCAGAAACCAAGGAAGTGAATGGAGTCCTTATGACCAAGATAATGAGTAATAATTGGGACAAAATCTGGAATTTTCAAGCAAAACCTGATGATCTCCTCATTGCAACCTATGCAAAGGCAGGTAGGTTTGGGAAACTGGCAGTGGAGAAGCCAGCTGTAGAGGAGTGGTGATGTCTGGAAGGGCACCCCTATTTTAAAAATGCAGATTTTCGGGGGGCGGAGCAAGATGGTGGAGGAGTAGGAGACCTGGATTTCATCTGGTCTCGGGAATTCAGCTGAATAGGGAATCAAACCATCCTGAACACCTACAAACTCAACAGGAGATCGAAGAAAAGAATAGCAACTCTGAACAGAAAAGCGACCACTTACTGGAAGGTAGGAGGTGCGGAGAAGTGAATCTGAGGCGATATTCGGAAGGATAGGCGGTGGGGGAGGGGCCTCCCTCGGCCGCTTCTGGCAAGTGATAGAGCTATGGAGCACAAAATCAGAACTTTTAGAAGTCGGCTCCGCTGAGGGACGTCGCTCCAGTGGCTAAGCTGGGGGTGGAACCCTCGTGGGACAGGGTGGTCTCAGGACCCTTGGGGTCACAGAAAGAGCAGGGGTGCCTGAGTGCAGCAGAGCTCCCAGGTATCAGAGTGGGTAAGCCAGAGCCGAGGCGCGGGCTTTCAGCTCAGGGTTGCCATAACCTGTGATCCGCGGCCCAGTCAGGCCACTGCTCCTCCAGCAGGGACACAACAAGCGACAGAGCCTAGGAGACTCCCCTTCCTGCCCTGGGAGGAGCGGTGAGGAAGCGCACCGCAGGGATCTCTGGGTTTGGAGACTCCACACGGGGTCAGGTGCCAGAGATAGTAACGCTGGCTCACAGGCCAGGTGAGCATGGAGTGCAGCCGAGACCAGGGAGATGGGAGTGACTGACTGCTTTTCTCTAGGGGCACACTGAGGAGCAGGGCCCTGAGTTCTTGGCTCCTCTGGGCAGAGATTGGGAGGCCACCATTTTCACTCTCATTCTCCAAAGCTGTACCGAGAGCTTGCAGGGAACAAAAGCGCCTGAGAGCAAACCCGAGCAGATTGCTTAGCCCGGACTGACAAGGGCAGGGCAATTCCGCGTCCAGCAAAGACATTTGGGAACCATGGCAACAGGCCCCTTCCCCAGAAGATCCGCATGAACGGCCAACCAAGACCAACTTTACCGATCCAGGAGAATGGGAGAACTCCAGCGCTAAGTGAATACTGCACACAGAATACATGGCTTTTTTACCATGATTCATTAGTCTTTCAAAGTTAATTTTTTAACTGTTTTATTTAAATTTTTCTCTTTCCCTTTTTCAACCAACATCTTATCAATCCCTTTTTGAAAAAAAAATTTTTATTTTTCATTTTTAGAGTCATATTCTATCCCTTCATAGTAGTTACCCTTATTTTTGGCATATATATATAAGTTGGTCTCTTTAAAATTTTGAGATACAGATTCTTCTAACAGATCAAAATATACTCTAAATCAGGAGTGTATGGCTTGGTTCTAATCTCCTGCCTGATCACATTCTCTCCCTTTGTTTTTTTAAATCTTCTTTCTTTTTTCAAACAACTTCTTATCTTATCAATTCCTTTTATAAAATCTTTTATAATTTTCATCTTTACAGTCATCTTCCATCTCTTCATTGTATCAACCCTTATTTTGTACATATATAGTCTTTCTTTCCTTAAAATTTTACGAGACACTTTCTTCTAACAGACCAAAATACACCCAAAATCTAGTATGTGGCATGATCTATGCACTAGCCTGATCATATTTAATCATATTCTGGGTTTTTTTTGTTCTGTTTTTGTTCTTTTTTATCTTTTTCTGATTCTTTTTTTTTTTTGTCTTTCTTTTTTCTTTCTTTCCCTTTCTTTTCCCCTGGTTTCAGATCTTTTCTGATTTGTTGAGAGTATATTTTCTGGGGACGTTGTTAACCTGTTAGCATTTTGTCCTCTCATTGATCTATTCTCCTCTGGACAAAATGACAAAATGAAAAAAATCACCTCAGCAAAAAGGACAAGAGGTAGTATCATCTGCCAGGGACCACTCAATACGGACATTAGTACGATGTCGGACCTAGAGTTCAGAATCATGATTTTAAAGATACTAGCCGGGCTTGAAAAAAGCATGGAAGTTATTAGAGAAACTCTTTCTGGAGAAATAAAAGAACTAAAATCTAACCAAATCAAAATCAAAAAGGCTATTAATGAGATGCAATCAAAAATGGGGGCACTAACTGCTAGGATAAATGAGGCAGAAGAGAGAATCAGCGATAAAGAAGACCAAATGATGGAAAATAAAGAAGTTGAGAAAAAGAGAGATAAACAACTACTGGATCACAAGAGCAGAATTCGAGAGATAAGTGATACCATAAGACAAAACAATATTGGAATAATTGGGATCCCAGAAGAAAAAGAAAGAGAGAGAGGAGCAGAAGGTATATTGGAGCAAATTATAGCAGAGAACTTCCCTAATGTGGGGAAGGAAACAGGCATCAAAATCCAGGAGGCACAGAGAACCCCCATCAAAATCAATAAAAATAGGTCAACACCCCAACATCTAATAGTAAAACTTACGAGCCTCAGAGACAAAGAGAAAATCTTGAAAGCAGCTCGGGAGAAGAGATATGTAACCTATAATGGTAGAAATATTAGATTGGCAACAGACCTATCCACAGAGACCTGGCAGGGCAGAAAGGACTGGCATGATATTTTCAGAGCACTAAACGAGAAAAATATGCAGCCAAGAATACTATATCCAGCTACTCTGTCATTGAAATTAGGAGAGATAAAAAGCTTCCAGGACAAACAAAAACTAAAGGATTTGCAAACACGAAACCAGCCCTCCAAGAAATATTGAAAGGGGTCCTCTAAGCAAAGAGAAAGCCTAAAAGCAGCATAGACCCGAAAGGAACACAGACAAAATACAGTAACAGTCACCTTACAGGCAATACAATGGCACTAAAATCATATCTTTCAATAGTTACCCTGAATGTAAATGGGCTAAATGCCCCAATCAAAAGACACAGGCTATCAGATTGGATTAAAAAACAAGACCCATCAATATGCTGTCTGCTAGAGATTCATTTTACACCCAAAGACACCCCCACATTGAAAGTGAGGGGGTGGAAAACCATTTACCATGCTAATGGACATCAAAAGAAAGCTGCGGTGGCAATCTTTATATCAGACAAATTAGATTTTATTTTTTTAAAGATTTTATTTATTTATTTGAGAAAGAGATAATGAGAGAGAGAGAGCACATGAGAGGGGGGAGGGTCAGAGGGAGAAGCAGACTCCCTGCTGAGCAGGGAGCCCGATGCGCTACTCGATCCAGGGACTCCAGGATCATGACCTGAGCCGAAGGCAGTTGCTTAAACAACCGAGCCACCCAGGCGCCCCTGACAAATTAGATTTTAAAACAAAGACTGTAATAAGAGATGAGGAAGGACACTATATCCTACTTAAAGGTTCTATCCAACAACAGTATCTAACAATTGTAAATATGCCCCTAAATGGGAGCAGCCAATTATATAAGCCAATTAATAACAAAAGCAAAGAAACACATCAACAAAAATACAATAATAGTGGGGGACTTTAACACCCCCCTCACTGAAATGGACAGATCATCTAAGCAAAAGATCAACAAGGAAATAAAGACTTTAAATGACACCCTCGACCAAAAAGACTTCACAGACATATTCAGAACATTCCATCCCAAAGCAACGGAATACACATTCTTCTCTAGTGCCCATGGAATATTCTCCAGAATAGAACACATCCTAGGTCACAAATCAGGTCTCAACCAGTACCAAAAGATTGAGATCATCCCCTGCATATTTTCAGACCACAATGCTTTGAAACTAAACTCACTCCCAAGAGGAGACTGGGAAAGAACACAAATACATAGAGGCTAAAGAGCATTCTACAAAGGAATGAATGGCTCAACCAGGAAATTAAACAAGAATTTAAAAAAATTCATGGAAACCAATGAAAATGAAAACACAACTGTTCAAAATCTTTGGGATGCAGCAAAGGCAGTCCTAAGAGGAAAGTATATAGCAATACAAGCCTTCCTCAAGAAACGGGAATGGTCTCAAATACACAACCTAACCCTACACCTAAAGGAGCTAGAGAAAGAACAGCAAATAAAGCCTGAACCCAGCAGGAGAAGAGAAATAATAAAGACCAGAGCAGAAATCAATGAAATAGAAGCCAAAAGAACAGTGGAACAGATCAACGAAACTAGGAGTTGGTTCTTGGAAGAATTAACAAGATTGATAAACCCCTGGCCAGACTTATCAAAAAGAAAAGACAAATGACCCAAATCAACAAAATCATGAATGGAAGAGGAGAGATCACAACCAACATCAACGAAATACAAACAATTATAAGAACATATTATGAGCACCTATATGTCAGCAAATTAGATAACCTGGAAGAAATGGATGCATTCCTAGAGATGTATCAACTACCAAAATTGAACCAGGAAGAAATAGAAAACCTGAAAATACCTATAACCACTAAGGAAATTGAAGCAGTCATCAAAAATCTCCAAACAAAAAAAGCCCAGGGCCAGATGTCTTCCCAGAGGAGTTCTACTAAACATTTAAAGAAGAATTAATACCTATTCTCCTGAAACTGTTCCAAAACATAGAAATGGAAGGAAAACTTCCAAACTCATTTTATGAGGCCACCATTACCTTGATCCCAAAACCAGACAAAGACCCCATCAAAAAGGAGAATTACAGACCAATATCCTTGATGAACATGGATGCAAAAATTCTCACCAAAATACTAGCCAGTAGGATCCAAAAGTACATTAAAAGGATTATTCACCGGGGCACCTGGGTGGCTCAGTTGGTTAAGCGACTGCCTTCGGCTCAGGTCATGATCCTGGAGTCCCGGGATCGAGTCCCACATCGGGCTCCCTGCTCAGCGGGGAGTCTGCCTCTCCCTCTGACCCTCCCCCATCTCATGCTCTCTCTCTCTCTCTCATTCTCTCTCTCAAATAAATAAATAAATAAACTTAAAAAAAAGGATTATTCACCAAGACCAAGTGGGATTTATCCTAAGGCTGCAAGGTTGTTACAACAACCACAAATCAATCAACGTGAGACAATACATTAACAAAAGAAAGAACAACAATCATATGATCCTCCCAATAGATGCAGAAAAAGCATTTGACAAAGTACAGCATTCTTTCTTGATCAAAACTCTTCAAAGTATAGGCATAGAGGGTACATACCTCAATATCATAAAAGCCATCTTTGAAAAACCTACAGAGAATATCATTCTCAATGGGGAAATACTGAGAGCTTTCCCCCTAAGGTCAGGAACACAGCAGGGATGTCCACTATCATCACTGCTATTCAACATAGTATTAGAAATTCTAGCCACAGCAATCAGACAACAAAAAGAAATCAAAGGCATCCAAATCGGCAAAGAGGAAGTCAAACTCTCACTCTTTGCAGATGATATGATACTTTATGTGGAAAACCCAAAAGACTCCACCCCAAAACTGCTAGAACTCATACAGGAATTCAGTCAAGTGGCAGGATATAAAATCAATGCACAGAAATCAGTGGCATTCCTATACACCAACAACAAGACAGAAGAGAGAGAAATTAAGGAGTCGATCCCATTTACAATTGCACCCAAAACCATAAGATATCTAGGAATAAATCTAACCAAAGAGGCAAAGGATCTGTACACAGAAAACTCTAAAATACTCATGAAAGAAATTTAGGAAGACACAAAGAAATGGAAAAACGTTCCATGCTTATGGTTTGGAAGAACAAACATTGGGAAGATGTCAATGCTACCTAGAGCAATCTACACATTCACTGCAATCCCCATCAAAATACCATCCACTTTGTTCAAAGAAATGGAACAAATCATCCTAAAATTTGTATGGAACCAGAAGAGACCCTGAATAGCCAGAGGAATGTTGGAAAAGAAAAGCAAAGCTGGCGGCATCACAATTCCGGACTTCCAGCACTATTACAAAGCTGTCATCATCAGGACAGTATGGTATTGGCACAAAAACAGACACATAGATCAATGGAACAGAATCGAGAGTCCAGAAATGGACCCTCAACTCTATGGTCAACTAATCTTTGACAAAGCAGGAAAGAATGTCCAATGGAAAAAAGACAGTCTCTTCAACAAATGGTGTTGGGAAAATTGGACAGCCACATGCAGAAGAATGAAACTGGACCATTTCCTTACACCACACACAAAAATAGACTCTAAATGGTTGAAAGACCTCAATGCGAGACAGGAGTCCATCAAAATCCTAAAGGAGAACAGCAGGTTCTCCTAAAGGAGGCAGCAACCTCTTCGACCTCAGCCGCAGCAACTTCTTCCTAGAAACATCGCCAAAGGCAAGGGAAGCAAGGGCAAAAATGAACTATTGGGATTTCATCAAGATAAAAACCTTTTGCACAGCAAAAGAAACAATCCACACAACCAAAAGACAACCGACAGAATGGGAGAAAATATTTGCAAATGACATATCAGATAAAGGGCTAGTATCCAAAATCTATAAAGAACTTGTCAAACTCAACACCCACAGAACAAATGATCCAATCAAGAAATGGGCAGAATATATGAACAGACATTTTTCCAAAGAAGACATCCAAATGGCCAACAGACACATGAAAAAGTCCTCAACATCGCTCGGCATCAGGGAAATCCAAATCAAAACCTCAGTGAGATACCACTTCACACCAGTCAGAGTGGCTAAAATTAACAATCAGGAAATGACAGATGTTGGCGGGGATGCGGAGAAAGGGGAACCCTCCTACACTGTTGTTGGGAATGCAAGCTGTTGCAACCACTCTAGAAAACAGTATGGAGGTTCCTCAAACAGTTGAAAATAGAGCTACCATACGATCCAGCAATTGCACTACTGGATATTTACCCCAAAGATACAAATGTAGGGATCTGAAGGGGTACGTGCACCCCAATGTTTATAGCAGCAATGTCCACAATAGCCAAACTGTGGAAAGAACCAAGATGTCCATCGACAGATGAATGGATAAAGAAGATGTGGTATATACACACAAAGGAATATTATGCAGCCATTAAAGGAATGAGATCTTGTCATTTGCAATGACGTGGGTGGAACTGGAGGGTATTATGCTGAGTGAAATAAGTCAATCAGAGAAAGACATGTATCATATGACCTCAATGATATGAGGAATTCTTAATCTCAGGAAACAAACTGAGTGGTGGAGTGGTGGGGGGTGGGAGGGAGGGGGTGGCTGGGTGATAGACATTGGGGAGGCTATATGCTATGGTGATAGCTGTGAATTGTGCAAGACTGTTGAATCACAGATCTGTACTTCTGAATCAAATAATGCAATATATGTTAAGTAAAAAAAAGAAGAAGAAGATAGCAGGAGGGGAAGAATGAAGGGGAGTAAATCGGAGGGGGAGAAGAACCATGAGAGACGATGGACTCTGAAAAACAAACTGAGGGTTCTAGAGGGGAGGGGGGTGGGGGGATGGGTTAGCCTGGTGATGGGTATTAAGGAGGGCACGTTCTGCGTGGAGCACTGGGTGTTATGCACAAACAATGAATCATGGAACACTACATCAAAAACTAATGATGTCATGTATGTTGATTAACATAACAATAAAAAATTAAAAATATAAAAATATAAAAATGCAGATTTTCACCAGGCCTGACCCTGGGAGAAATGAAACCAGACTTGCTTCTGAGCTCCAGTCCCTCAGGATCCAAGGTCTTCCTGTTTACTTAGGTAGAATCCCAGATCCTCAAAGGACTTAATGAATTACAAGATTATTTAAATGCAGAGTCTAAAAAATTATACAGAGGTTCTCACAGTAATCTTGCGAACCCAGCCACTCCTGGTTCCCGTCAGCCAAGCAATCTAGGAAGCGAGCACAACCCTTGCCCATAAGAAGCATCTCTTAATGGGGGGACACCAATGTGGAAATAAAGGCTTTCACCCCAATATGAAACGTTCTAATAGCTTCGGGTCCAACACCCACACAAGTACAGTCGGAAGGATCTGGGAAAGGGGAGGTGACACTTACCAGGATCTTATAAAATGAAGAGGAGGCTGTGACAAAAGTGAGGGTCTGCAAGTGCAAGGGGTTTCGAGGCTTGTGCAGGGGTGGAGGAACAAAGAATATCCTAACCGGGGAGGCCAATAGAATGACAATCTCCCTGCAATACCTGCATTTGTAACATCAAGCCATGTGACCAAGTGAGGTGATAAACCTGAAGCTGTAACCAGTTTGGGAAGGTCTCTCACCGGCCATTTAACTCTGTAAGAGGAACTCTCGTATTCATAACCAGAAAGATTTCAGAAAAGAATCAGTTCACCACATTCTCCCAACCTTCCTTGGACTGTTTCTGTCCTCTGTGTCTGGTAAGTCGCTCCTTAGCCTCACTCTCTTCTCAGGACTTAGCATTACTTAAAACTAGGGCAGGCACTTCCTGTCAGCAGGGTTCAATTCTTCAAGTATCTCCTTTTCTGTCTGGTTTGTACTGGACACTTCTGGTTAGAACTGAACTTGAATTTGCATTGCACCTCAGAGAAGGAATTTTTCAGCTCACCTTTGAAATTATGCAGTCAATCTCAAGGTCGCTCAGGATGGTCCCCAAGTTTCCAGCCTTATTCCCTCACCTCTCCCACCACCTCTTACCTGCTGTGAGCCCACTTACACTTACCAATTCAGAAATGTGACTTGTCTTTATCCTGGTTCCTGAGGCTCCCCCTACCTGGGAGCCTGGGATGCCCTGGCTTCTTAATGCAGATGAACATTCCGGTACTGTTTCAACTCTTCACTCCAAAACCACCAACTGAACTCAGCCTTACTGACCCCTTCTGCACCAAGATGGCCCTCCTCCTCTGAACTCCTGTAGCCCTTTGCACATCCTTTTTGTCTCTAACTGTACACTGTTCATCTTCTAGTTATCTGTGTATATGTCATATTTATCAGTGAGCAGCAGTTTTGACTAAGAGCCAGAGAAACACCAAATACTTTTGGTGGAAAAAGGAAAATGGATATCTGGTGGACAGTGAGCAGAATCTAGCTCTTTACTGACCTATATGCCTATTTGCACTTCTCTTCTGTATCCATTAGGATTTAATTTGGCTACAAGTGTCAGAAAACCCAAAAGAAAAAGCAGTCTGGAGATTAGCAGTCAGGGCTGAAGTGGTGGCTACGTTGATCATCAAAGACCCTGGCTCTTTCTAACTTTCTGCACACATTCCAAAAAGCAGCAAGAAGGTAGGAAGGGAGGAATAGGTTGTGTTCCTTCTCTTGAAAGACAACTTCCCAAAATGGCATGGCCCCATCATGTAAGAAAGACTGGTAAATATTACCTTTGAGGCAAGTAGCTGTATGTTCAGCTAAAAATTTATTAATGTGAGAAAGAAGGGAAGAATGGATATAAGCTAGGCAAGAGGTAGTCTCTGTCCTAACTTATCTCCTCCAAAAAGATTGTAAACTGGTTAGGACAGGGACAGTGGTTAATTCATCTTTGTATCTCCCTACATTCATTTCATTCAATACGCATTTGCTGAAACTACATTTACTAGGTGCAAAGCCCTTATGTGAGGCACTGGAGATTAAAGAGGAGGTGATAAGTGAGCTGATTCCGCTTAACACTCAGCATATGTGAATTTTACTGAATACATAAATAATCAAGGAAATGAATTAAATTGTGCAGTGAGTGGATGAAATTGATAATAACTAATGCTCTAGGCACAACCTGGACACAAGAGATTGTGGACATGATCCAAAATGACGGAGATGTGCAGAAGTGCCAGAGGGCCAACACCTTTGACCGGCATCCTTTCATCGAGTGGGCTCTACCCCCACCGCTCAACTCAGGTAAGTTGGCCCAAAAAAAACCCATGAGGCTGTAACTAAGACCCATGATCACTGTGCTCAGTCAGTTTGCACCTGAAAAGAGAATTGTTTCTATAGTTAGCCTTCTGGAAAATATTTCCAAAGGACACTGGGAAAGAGGTAAAAGTCAATGTACTCACTTCAACTGGGAAACAAGGCTTTTAAATCTATCTTCTAAAATATATATTTGGTGAGCATGAGAGAGCACATTCCCACTAGTGATTGGGAATTCAAGAGTGATGATGACTGTGTAACACAGAGAAGGCAAGGAGAAGACTCCTAGCACCCAGTGGTTAAGAACCATATTCCTCTGTCATTGTGCTCCTTCTCACAGAGGATTGTCTTTGTATATATTTTATCTATAACCTGTCTACCACAAAATCAAACTAACATATATAATAGCATTACCATCAACAATTACACTTCACAACAAAGATACTAAGAAATACAAGATACAGAACCCTTGAAGAGCTTGAAATCAATTAGGAATAAAGGGCATGTTTTTATAAAGTAAATAGTGGCAAACAGTAGCTTTTGTAATAAGAGACAACCCAGTGGTGAAAAGCCGCAGATTTTGGAATCAAACAATTCAGCTTCAAATATTTTATCCGGGTGACATTGAGCAAATGATTAACTCTCAAAACCTAATGTTATATTCATTTATAAAGTAATACCTATTGAAAACCCATTATTGATTGAGTCATCTATTCTAGCACCTTTAGTTGAAAAAAAAATCTTTTTTTTCCCCATTGAATAACCTTGGCTCCTTTTCCAAAATTGATTAACTACATATACATGGGTATATTCTGTACTTTCTATTCTATTCCTTTCCATTGTGTGTCTATCTTTATGCCAACACCACACCTTTGGATTACTGTAGATTTATAAGTTATGAAGTTAGGAAATTAGGTAGCATAAATTCTCCAATTTTTTTCTTCTTTTTCAAACTTGCTTTATCTATTTTAGGATCTTTGTAAATTCTAGAATCAGCCTGTAACTTTCTACAGAAAAAAAATCTGGTATTTGGCTGGGATTGCATTGAATCTATTGATCTATTTGGGGAGGACTATTACCCTAACAAAATCAGGTTTTCTGATCTGTGAGTGTGGTTTATTTCTTCAATTATTTAGGCCTTGTTTAATTTCCCTCAACAGTGTTTTATACCTTCCATCACTTAAGTCTGGCACATCTTCAATCAAATTTAACCATAAATAGTTTTATTTTATGCTATTATAAATGGCATTTTTGTATTTTAATTTTTAAATTTCTGTTTCTAATTCTCTATTACCCCCCACGGATTTGACCCTGTGAATTGTCACTCTGGCAGATGTCCCCAGTGGCCAGTACCAGCTGCTTCCCTCTCCAGGGTGTCCCAATCCACCTCACTGGGTTTGGGGTCATCCTCCACTAGCCCAGTGGTGGCAGGATCAGGGCTAGCCCCTAGGCCCAACAGTATAGAATCAGTGCCTTGGCATGTTGGTACACCTCGACACTGATCAGTGCCCACACCACTTTTATGAGTGTTTCACATGTAGTGGGGAGCTTGCTAATTTCCTTGGACATTTTCATTGGTGCAGACAGCAGGTGTTCAGGTCATTTGTATTAGGCCATTAGATTTTGTGCCACTACACACCAGGAGTGGGACCCATGATACCCCATAGTGTCAGGGGACAAGATGCCACAGCAGCAAGATATGCAGTGACAGAGGGACCACAGGCCCCAGTCACTCTTGCCTTTTTGAGGGGCCATGACTTCCCCAGTGTGGGCATCCCTACCATCCAGGTTAGAATTCAGAGTCCTAGTGCCTCCCACAAGCAAAGCCAATCAGGCCAGGAGAGTCTCCCTCTCCTCTTAGGGGCAATGCACCTTTCTCTGGTCCCATACTTGGGCAACTTGTGCAACTCATATGTTCCCCTCTGTTAACTAAAGACAATAGGACCTTGCCAAAATCTTGGCCAGTTGTCCCTAACAGTCAGTAGCGGGGTCTGTGCTAAAAGCTGAGACTCACACTCAAAGTCTAACACCCACTGCAGGTACCCCCTGGACATTAATAAATGGAAAACGCATCTATAGCCCCTCAAACCAGCTGCAATTAGCAATACCCTTAAAGTTTGAGAGAATTCTGGTTGCTTTTTTTGGAGCTTTCACTTTTGGGATGGGAACTTGGGGCAGACTTCTAAATAGACAGCATGCAGTTGGACTCCTCCCCAATGGATTACCCACCTGAGAAAGCCATTTGCAGCTAAAATACATTCCTCATTATCAAAGGCAAACTGACTCAATCCATCCTGATTGTGAAGCCATTTGTGACTTTGTTAAAATAACATTTGTTAGTAGAGCCCCAGGTAGGCTGGTGAGCCTCAGTTTAAGAAAAAACTATAAGGAATTGAAATAGAGAGGTTTACTACTCCTAGGTCTTGGTGGTTGGCAGTGAGGAATTAGTAGGCTATTTCTTTTGCTTGTGCAGGATTTTTAATTTTCTTCCTCTTACTTCCTTCTTTCCCATCACTGCCAGGTCTCCAGAGGGTGCCTCCCCTTCTCTATATATCTGATTCTCCACCAGAAGCTGTGCTTCTCCAACCAAGGCTGCTACTCTGCAATTTCAATCCCCTTCCCCTGAGTTTCATGCTGCATGTGGCCAAATCCCAGTCTGTATTTGGTTGTTTGTTTGTTTGTTTGTTTTTAAGATTTTATTTATTTATTTGAGAGAGAGAGAGCACAAGCAGGGGGGCGCAGAGGGGCAAAGGGAGAGGGAGAACCAGATACCCCATTGAGCAGGGAGGTCAACATAGGGCTCAATCCCAGGACCCTGGAATCAGAGCTGAACCGAAGGCAGATGCTTCACTGACTGAGCCACCCAGGTGCCCCCTGTACTTGATATTTTAACACTCAGCATTGGACATTCTGTTTCCAAGGAGGATTTTATCTGAGATTCATCTAGTTGTTCCTTGTCTGTCTGCTGCTTTCCACAATGTCTCTTAGGCCTCCCCCTCTATGGCTTTCCACACCCACAGACTAACTGATTTCCAGTCGTGGCTGTCACATTTACTAACTTGGAGAAATTACTTGACCACAGTAAGGCTCAAATTTTCATCTGAAAATACATCCCAGCACAGAGCACAGTGCTGGTGTTTGGTGGCTGTTGCAGTTCTTGGCCTGGAAAGTAAAGGTTAAAAGAAAGCATGAAGCTATTTACATGGAACTGCTAACCTTGTAGAGTTGGCCAATAACCCACCTCCCTTAAGAGGGAAGCCAGCTCTTCTCCAGCTGCCTTAATCTACTCCCCATTGCAGTAATAGAACACCCCAAAGGACAAAATATTCAAGTGCTTGTTGGGGACATAGTTGCACCAACCTCACCTCCCAAAACTTCTTCATCTTCCCACACAAGTATAACCAATACCCGGCAAATAAGGAGAGTAATGTTGCCTCAGTGGTTTCCAGTATCTCATTAGTGCTTTCCTTTATCTGAATGGATGGTAAAAGTGTCATTAGGAGGGAATCATTTAGACATGTAAAAACCATAATTTTAGGCAGAGCCAGCTATTTGGTAAACCTCATTTCAGATATCTGACAAAACAATAATATTGAATTCATGGAGCTGACGAGAAGTGTTCCGCTAAATGGTGTAGCCTTCTTTCCCAGGTCTGGATCTGGCCAGCAAAATGCCTTCTCCTAGAACTATGAAGACTCACCTGCCTGTTCAGTTGCTGCCACCTTCCTTCTGGAAAGAAAATTCAAAGGTAGGAAAAGCCAACTTTTCAAACCCAGTTTTGGTCAGTATGGGTAGATAATGTATCCATCTAAATAGAAAAAATCAAAGATATTGAAAAATAAGTAATCAATGGAGGTATAGGGCAGATGGCATTACTCCCACATTCCCACATACTCCATGCTGTATCCAGCTTTCCTTCAAAATATTATTTCTGGGTACATACTAGGAAGTTTTCAGACAAAATCATTCTGGTTGGTTGCCAATTAAGCCATAGCCAAAGAGAGCAATTGGTGAAACAAAGCACATATTTCCTGAAGAAGGCTATTATCTTAGTTCAAATCATCTAAGAAACAAAAGCCACGGCCAAGGAAGACATAAAAGGAATTTATTTAGGGAAAACCTGTGGAGAGAAAGGTAGAGCAAGGCAAAGGAGGATGATACTACATTGGCCACCCTTAGAGCATATTTCATGGAGCAAGCACCCAGGAACTATTACACCGCTATGTCCTCCATTTCCAAAATTTTTCATTTATTTTGACTCTTCCAAATTCAGGTTCAATGTGCAATGTACATCAAATATACTGGTGTTTCTTTTTGATGTATGCTTAATCAGTGAGCCTTAAAGTCAAATATTGACTTACAAATTTGCCATGAAAAGTGTAGCCATCCAGCAGAATCAAATGCTTATATCAGCTAGACCAACATGTCTTCTCTCTGTGAGCAAGCTGCTTTAGAAATCCAGACTGAACCCTTACCAAGGAAACCATAGGGGTCAAGTCTGTTAGCCAAAACACTCTCTCCTCCATGCAGTGCTCAGATACACAGTGCAAGTAATTGTTTTTTACTCTCATTTTTCTGGGCTTCTCTGAGTCACCAGCACTTCGTCTTGACCATCTCTGAATAAGGTACAGTACAATTGAATAGGATTCCATATATCAAAATGCTATCCCATTCCTGATCTGCTTCCCTGGGATTACATCTAGGTCACCTTCATTTTTGAAAACTTCCTGCTTTATACGCACAGATAAATAACTTCACTCATATGTGACTGTTGCTGCTCAAGAAGCAATATTATTTCCAAATGCTATTGTAGACTCAATGTCAGAAGACAAAATAACATCTTGTTAGTCATCATACTAGCACCTTCTTTTTGTAAAACCAGGCCTTGTAAAATGTAAAAATCTCAATGACAGCACCTCCTTTTATCTGCTCAAAATTGTGGATTATTTGAGTAGGAAAGGACCTTAAAGAGCTTAGCCCAAGATTTGCATTTTATGATGCAGTGATAAGCTAAATAATCATCCCCTAAAGATATCCATGTCCTAATAACCAAAAACTGAATGCTACCTTACAAAGTAAAATGGGCTTTGCAGATGTGATTAAATTGGGGATCTTGAGATGGAAGATTATCCTGGATTATCTAGGTGGACCCTAAATATCATCACAAGGATCCTTATAAGAGGGAGGCAAGAAGATCAGAGGAAGAAGTGGGAGATGTGATAAGTGAAGCCAGGGATTGGGTCAAGAGCCAAGGAATGCAGGTGGCCTTGAGATGCTAGCAACATCAAGGGAAGGGATTCTCCCCTAACATCACCAAAAGGGACCAGCCCTGCCAACAGCTTGACCTGAGCCTAGTGAAATCTAGCCTCCAGAACCATATAAGAATAATTTTCTTATTGTTTTCAGGCACTACATCTGTGGGAATTTGTTACAGCCACCACAGGGGACTCACACAGCTGGATCAGCAGAAAATGTATTGGACATTAGGTCACTCCCAGTCATCTGACTCTCGCCACAAGCACACTGAATATGTTCCCTGCCTAGCCCAGACTGCCCTTTCACAATTACTCAGGCTTACAGAAAGGCAATAACCAACACAAGCATTAAGAAATACATTTACAGGGGCACCTGGGTGGCTCAGTCGGTTAAGTGTCTACCTTCAGTTCAGGTCATGATCTCAGGTCCTGGGATCAAGCCCCACATCCGGCTCCCTGATCAGCAGGTAGTCTGCTTCTCACTCTGCCTCTTCCTCCCCCTGCTTCTGTTCTCTCTCTCTCTCTCAAATAAATAAAACCAAAAAAATAAAAGAGAGAGAGTGAGAGAGAGAAAGAAAAGAAAGAAAGACATTTACATTATGACAAGATGGTGCAGCTGTGTCACAGTTTTTGGTTCCCTACCTGCTCTCATAAATATCAGAGAAAAATTGAGTGGTACGAAAAGAGGCAGGGAAATAGGCCTGGTCCATGTTCCTGTAATGCAGCAGTCTATGGAAAGGCAGTAGAGAAAGCAAGAGCCTGGGCCAATTGTCTGAAAGGGAAATGTCACTGGGTGAGTGGTTCTGTTGGACACAGGAATTCTGTTCAGTAAATGAGACATGGGAAAATGCTTGAGAAACCATTAATGTGCTCCTCCTCCCCGGCTCTGCTGAGAATGCACACAGAGGCCAGGTGGGCATGGAACCACAGGACAAGAAGCCAAGAGGTCAGCTCTCCCAAGCCACACCACAACCCTGTTTTTCCAATGAGAAGAATCATCACAAGCAGTTCCAAAGGGAGACTTAGCACTGCCCTCAAAGGTCCTGCAATCTTACCACAAATGAAAAGTTAAGAGTGATCATTCATCTGTAAGGCTGCAGCTCATCATGTACAGAGGAGACTAGACTAGACAACTGAGTGCTTTAGCTACCCCCTGTGCAATAACCTAGTTAGAGTTCTTGCTTAGTGCAAGCCAAGGAGGACCTACCTTTCAAACACACTGGAAAATACCACAGTGGCCTCATTAGTCTTCAGAAATATCATAGTTAGGGTGACTGTAGTATTTATCCTGCAAACCAGGATACTCTTGAGAGAGAGGAGCATACGTGCATGCTCCTAATCATTATCTAAGACCACAGATATACACTGGAACTCTGTCTGGGCATACTGGAAGATGTGGTCATCCTGCTTACAGAAAATGCATGCACGTTCAGTTACTCAAATAGAATAGTCTAAGATTCTAATAACATGGTCCTCTGCACTGAGCAATAATATTTCTCTGTTTTGTTTGCTGTCTGTCTCAATTCCCTTGCTGGTTGATTTAAGATTATCTATGTGGCTAGAAATCCAAAGGACTCTCTGGTGTCCTACTACCATTTCTCAAGAATGAATAAAATGATGCCTGACCCTGGTACATGGGAGGAGTATATTGAGGCATTCAAAGCTGGAAAAGGTGAGTAAAAGGAAATTATGGGTTCATGTTTCCTCATTCATTCTTCACATTTCCTTGTTCATTATTGACATCAGAAAGGAAGGTTTTTCATTGAATGATTGTGGTCACCAAGGTCATGGGAGGATGTGGATGGCACATTGAAACTGGGTCATTTGGGGATAATTTAGTCAAGAGACTATTTAGAAAGCTACAGGCAGAGTTTAAAGAAACCAACAGGTGATAGTGCAGTGTTTTGGCGTGAACACCAGCAGGGAGCTATTGCCTACTGGAAAAAGGACAAGGCCCCTTAACAGGGGAAAGAGTCCACCACAGTGAGCCAACAGGAAGGGCATCAGGGAAATAAACCACACCCTTCTCACTCTCCTCCTGCCTCCAAAAACCTTTCAGTGCCTTTTGCTGGCAAATCCCAGGTGGAAGCCTGAGGACAAAGGAGTCCATTGACACAGTCCATAAAGGTCAATCTTGCAGGGTAGAGGAAGGTACAGAATGGATTTGGCAGGGCCAACAAAAGACACCCAGTGCACCTCTCCTCCTCCCAGTCACCATGAGAGAGAGAGCAAAGGTGCCCAAATATTTGGTAATTATAGATTTTTCAGAATGAAAATCAGCCCACTAAGGGACAGGATCTGTTGCATAACACTAATCTAGGCACCATGCAGTGATGCTGGGGGAGAGAAAGATTATGATCTCTGGCCACTACACAGTAACTCATGTGGTAGTAAATTCAAGAGCAAAAATATAAACCAAGGAATCCAGAATGCTTTTTATCATCTCCTTAAATATTAAAAAGTCCCTGTCTTCTGCAAATAAGAATTCTGGCCAGGGTCTTTTTCTTCTTTGTCTTTGTCCCTTTTATTTGAGACAATCATTCTCATTTTGTAAGTTTCAAGTTGATATTGATGCCCCCCCCTTCTCTCTTGTTCCCTCCAGTGCTGTGGGGTTCCTGGTATGACCATGTGAAGGGATGGTGGGATGCAAAAGACCAGCACCCTATTCTCTACCTCTTCTATGAGGACATGAAAGAGGTAAAAGGCAGTGCAATCTCCATTAGACCCACCATGTTCTCCAGTGCAGCAAACCACATTTGGGACCCTGGCATTTGGGCTTGCCCACAGAAGAGCCTTCCGTGCAAGTCCTTTCTCTCCATGACATTTTTCCCAACTCAGTTTTATCCTCAGAAGTTCTAACTACTTTTCTGCTCTTCTCAATTTTATTTGCTTCAGTTCACAATTTCCAGAAGATCCTTCCTCCTCAGGAAATATCACATGCCTTTATGGTTGAATTAATCCTGACACTCATGAACCATGTGTCTTCACCTACAGAATGGGTATCATCTCATTTTGTATCTCATGAAATTATTATAAGGATTTATTAGATCACATTTGTAAAGTGCCTAGTTGTGTTCAGTGAATGCTCAGGGAGAGTTTCCTTCTCCCTGTTCCACACCCCAGACCCACATCACAAATGAAGTTTAATCCATATAAACGTTGGCAGGATTGGTCCCACATATTGTGACAGAGAACGGATTTCTCCTTTTCAAGTCACTGTGTATGAGAAGCATGACAAATTCACTCTCATGACCCCAGGGATTAGTATCCTAGAATTACAAACTACTTATTATGCCAGCGCTGAGAAATCCAATCAAAAACTATAGCTCCCTGGGGCACCCGGGTGGCTCAGTCAATTGAGTGTCCAACTCTTGATTTCAGCTCAGGTCATGATCTCATGGGTCATGGGAATGAGCCCTGTGTCCAGCTCCGCGCTCAGCGGGTCATCTGCTTGAGGATTCTCCCCCTCTGCCTTTCCCCCTGCCCTCTCTCTCTCTCAAATGAAAAAACAAATCTTTTTTTTAAAAAAAGAAGCTATAGCTCCTTTTCTGCAACTCTTTGATCAGAAAGAACCAGTGCACAAGAATTTACATTTCTGGGTCAACTTGAGATCCCCTGTATTCATGCCCTTACTAACCTTCTATTAAACTCACAGGCTCTTTTGCCATCTTCTATAGCTCAAATACTAGAGTACGTCATACTGTGCTTCACCTGCAACATTTCCCCTCCTTTATACAACCTTCCTAATCTCTACCAGGAGACATAATTGTTCCTGTCAACAAATCTCATAATACTGTCTGTGTGCGAGCAGCATGTTTTCTGGGCAACGTTTTGCCCAGTTAGTTATGTCTACATTTATCCCCCTATTGCAAGGTGAGCCTCCTGGTGGCAAGAACGGCTCTCATCTTTGTGTCATGGCAGCACCTGAGATGGTACAGTGCCTTGCACATAGTCATCACCTAAGGGATAGTTGTTGAATATATTTGAACTGATCGCTTAACTCAATTCCTCCCAAATACTGTTTGTCCAAGCAGAATGTCATCCCTAAAAGAAAACCCAAATTTATTTGCTTTGTGTAACTCTTCCACATATAGGACCCAAAGCGGGAAATTCAGAAGATATTGAAGTTCCTAGAGAAAGAAATGCCCGAAGAAGTCCTGAATAAAATCATCTATCACACCTCCTTCGATGTAATGAAGCAAAACCCAATGGCCAACTACACCACTGTGCCTACTGTCCTCATGAACCAATCTGTCTCCCCTTTTATGAGGAAAGGTATGTAAATTTATATTCTTAAATACCAGATTGGACTCTGTAGTACCCATGATCTGCTTAGATTTTCCAGTAATGTTTCATGCCCCATTATTCCTTCCTATCAATGACACTACTGCATAATTTTCAGAGGCAAACTTTTTTCTCCACCCCGTTCTTGTGCTGGCTCCAAGGAAGCATGCTCCCTCCTCCCTGTACTCCTGTGGCAACCTCTGAGACTTTGACTTGTTTCAGGGATGCCTGGGGATTGGAAGAACTATTTCACTGTGGCTCAGAATGAAGAATTTGACAAAGACTACCAGAAGAAGATGGCAGGGAGCACCCTGACTTTCCGCACGGAGATCTGAGGACAACAGGGTAATACATCAGTCAGAACCTCCTTCCTAGATTTTAGACATTTGAGCCTCATAATCAAGAATACTTAAAACTACCATACCCATCCTCTAATCCTGACCTTTCCTACACTATCCATAGATTCTATGCCACTATGATATATTTCATCCAAATGTAATCAAATCCTGCATAGAAGTTTAAAATTAAATTACATGATCATTCACATAGACACCTATCTCTTGTGTAACACATTCTAGGCACTATGCAGTGATGCTGGGGAAAGAAAGATTATGATCTCTGGCCACTACAGAGTTATCTCATGTGGTAAGAGATGTGTAATAAGAATTCTGGCCAGGGTCTTTGTCTTCGTTGTCTTTGTCCCTTTTATTTGAGACATCCATGCTCATTTTGGAAGTTTCAAGTTGATAGTGATGCCCCCCCCTTCTCTCTTGTTCCCTCCAGTGCTGTGGGGTTCCTGGTATGACCATGTGAAGGGATGGTGGGATGCAAAAGACACATGACATACCCCATCGCTAGCTCACAATAGCCTGGCTGCCCAGATGCAGAATTCATGAAAAGAGAGAAATAAATAAGAGTAGAACTTCAACATAAGAGAAAGTGAACAAAACGCAAAGGAGAATTGAACACCAGGGAGAATATGTAAAGGAACCAGGGTTTATCCTTAACCATTAAGAATGAGACAGAGAGGATGGCCCAGCTCTTGGAAGTATTAAGTTGTAAGGCACAGATGGTGCTAGTGAGCTGTGCCTGATTCAGACAATCTCAAGCTGGATATGGTCTCAAGACCAAAGAGAAAGGCTGGAGTGGGAATGACTGATGAGCAGCACACGATAAACAAGAAACAGTTCACTTCTGACGCCAACACAAGGCTGGAAGACAGGAAACAACTTATATTTCAGATGAGCTTCTTAGAAAGGGGGGGAAAAGTCCCGAAATCAGTTTCCCCTCTCGCAAATAAAATAAAATACCAGCACCACATGCACTTTAAGAAAATCTTGACTATCACATTTCTGGAAGGATCACATTTCATGCCTCATAAAAAGAGGCTCTTAGCAAAATTGTCAGGATTGCCAAATTATTCAGCTACACATGTAATCATGTTCTGCTCCTTTTTTTTTTGTCATTAAAACCTCTCAAGAAAGTGTCTAGCATCATTTACACAAGTAGTGAGAAGATCAGTATTATTTTAAGTATTAAGTATTTAAGTATTTAAGTATATTAAGTATTTAAGTATTAAGAAGTATTATCTTAAAAGAATGTTAGGAAGGTGCAGCTTGTGGGAGTGGTGCTTTCCTGTGCCACTAAATCATCAGATACAGGAAAATAGCAACCCCACCCAGGAACAAAAGAAGTCCTGTTTGCATTCTATCATGGTTCTACTTTCTAAGGTAAGCATGAAAATCATTAACCACAGTGACAAATAATCCATTACAGGATTTGTGCAGAGCGCTTAGCTGCTCTAAGGAAAGATGTAATGAGGTGAACCACATGGATACATTTAAAATAAGTTTTATTCTAATCACGTGTTACACATTTACACACACACATTCCTCTATATACCATAGTCATGCAAGATCACATTGTAAATGTTCATGGTTAAGGGACTTTGAAGCCATGCATTTAGAAGGAGAGAAATACACAACAGTGGGAAATGGGACTACCTTGGAATCCTGAAACTTCAGAATGAGAAATCGGAGAATCAGGTCACACCATCCAATGATCTCATTTGGGATGAGACTAAGACTCAACTCCACAGGCCAGTGCCAGCAGAGCTGGTGGACTTGGGTCCCCACCCTGGCAGCCCCCTTTCCCCAGCATACTCCTAGAACCCTGCTCATGGCCCACACCTCCTCCTGGGCTGCAGCTGGTGCTTGCAATGTTCCTCTGGACACTCAGATTGGTGTCATCACAACTTGAGGTTCCAGGAATCCTGTCTGATTTTTTAACAAATCTCAAAACCGTCCTAACTGGCATGTTTAGAAAAAGAAAAACAACAAGCCTTGGTGGAAATATGCTTTAGAAAGGCAGTTCTTCCCTGGGAGGACCCTGGATCAGAGTGTCATTGTGATGGAAAAGTCTGTGAGTGCGAGGTAGCTCTGGGCAGAAGCTGACCCTTCCCAAAGTTGAGTGTAACCTGCCAGGCCCATCCGCCCCTCAGAGGCATCTGTTTTTCCAGGCTTCTGGGCCCTTCTTTTGCTCTTAGGTATTCTGTGGGTCCCCCAGCCCGACATGTACAAGCTCGTTGCCTGCCCTCAGAGGAGAGGATCTCATTCCCTATCCTGCACCTGCGTATCTTCTGTCCCTTCCCCTTCTCATTCATAATAAACCTGTGCAGGGTTTGCTGATAATGGAACTTCAAAACGTCCATGGCAAATTTAGTCCATATAAGCTGGAATATCCTGAATTCAAATATGTGAAATGCTAATGACAAACAATGGAGAAAGGAAGTCAAGGCATGGGAATAAAAACTCTTAAACATTTCTAGATATCTACTCTTTTTTTTTTTTTTTTTTGGCTTGGAGGAATTCAAGTTTTTACTGGTAAAATCCAATGACCAGCTTTCTTCTGAGAGGTTTACTTTTAAGTGGAAAAGCACCCATCCCTTCATTGTCAGTGCCTTCCCCTTATCTCTTCCTTCTGGTTTGTTGGTCTAGGGTCATGGGGGGGGGGGTTAGGAAACTATGGCCCCTGAGCCAAATTCATATTCATTTGGTATGCCCAGAAGCTAGGAAGGGTTTTCTTATTTTAAAAAGGTTGTTGCAAAAACAACATCAACAAAGAAGAATGACCCACAAAGCCTGAAATATCATCTACTATCCAGTCTCTGAGCTGAGTTTCTGGGTCTGCTTTAGCTGGGCCAGGACCTTATGTGAATGAGTCTGGAGGCATCCTGAAGATCCATATTTGTGAAGACTCACACTCCCATATTTGGAACCTGAGAGCAGAGGTGCTGGGTGGGATCACACTGAAGCCCCAGAAATCTATATATCGCCAGAGCTTCTGCTTCTGCTGCCCAACAAACAGCGAAGGGCACCTCCACCGATAAGAGTGTGCGCACTTGGGGTAGGGGGCTACCTTCATTTGAGAGTTGTGAGGGTAGTACTTCCAGGCATGTAAGCCCAGGGAGGGCCCAGGTCAGCAGGGATGTCCAGGTCCTGAGGTGGGGTCTGCTCCACCAACGCCATCTGAGCATACCCCTGAGAAGCAGTACACATGTTGTGGGTTCTAGGAGTAAGCAGGTGGGCATAGCCGAGATCCATGGTGGATGTGGACCAGGCTGGCAGGGATTCTAAAGTAAGTACAGGGAACAGATTTCAGGCAGTAGCAGGAACAGGGTCCCAGCCAGAAGAAGACAAAGACCAGGAAGGGCTGCGAGTGGCTAATGGATAGCTCTCCATGTATTAGGTCACCCCAGTGAACCCCTGCATTGCCAGGGTCTTATGGGTAACCAGTCCCCCAGGAACTGTAATTGGTGGGGTCAGGCTCAGGTCCAAAGTTTGGCAGGAAAAGCTGGACTGACTGGCTAGGGCTTGGTTCACACCGTGCTTAAAACTTCACAATCCATCATGGCCTTAACCAGAAGGCCACTAGCTCCTCCCTGAGCTTCAGGAAAGTGAAGAACATCCCTGACCACTACCAGGATCAGCAATGCAGAGCAGGGAAGAGAGGGGGTGTGCAGAAAGTTGGGCCAGGCAAGCTTCCCACATGAAGCTCTGTGCACAGGGTTGGCTGTGACACCCAAATGTAAGCTCAAGTGTCCTTCCCAGCACCCTGTGCTCTGAGCCCAAGACAGTAGCATGAAACATGTCCCAGCACTGCACCCCTCAGGTCCCAGGGAGATGGGATTTGATGGAATGTCAGGTCACCACCCTGCTTCAAGAAGCAGCAGGAAGCTGTAATTTCCTGCTGCAATTGACTACAGGCTGCCTCGCAAGGCAGAATGTTCTCAGGGCTCTCCAGAAGCCTGTGGCATCCCCTGTTTATGGTTGGTTTCCAGAAGCAGACTCTGGATGAGGATTCCTGTGCAAGTAACATTTCAAAAGTGTTTCCAGGAGAGAATCATCAGAGAGTGAGGAAGGAAGATGGGGAGGGATTCTGCACAGTCCCAGCCTCAACCTCATTCTCAGGGGGCTCCTGGGAGAGTCCCTCCAAGAGGCAGGGCAGGGAGCTGGGCTTTCCTTTCCTGCCTTCAACCCTCCCTGTGGCTGCCCTGGGATATATCAGCTCCCAGACTCCTGTGCTCTCAGAGCTTCTGGGCGAAGCCACCCTAGTGCCCAAGGGCAGATTTCTTTCTCTGAAGGAAGCAGGCCAAGGCCTGTAGGAAAGAAGCATACAGCTGTAACATGAGGCAGAGGTTGGTGGTGCCAATCCAAAGGCATCTGGGCAGGGCACCAGAAGCACTGCTCCATTTCCAGAGAACTTTAGTGGGGAGGAACCCACCTCTGAGTCCCATGTGAAAAGCACACCACTGGAGCAGTACCACCAAGAACCTTGAGTTCTACATAATTGGAACGCTTCATTGTGAAGCTGGGAACCAGGTAGTCAAGTGAACACAGGGTGAGGAGGGGCTGTTCAGCATGAGGAATAGCAGTGGGTGCATGCGTGGGATTGGTCTGCCAGTTCAGCATTTTTGCCACCCAAGCAGGCAGGGCCTTCAGCTGCAGGTGCAAGTCCCCCTTCTTTCCCACCACACCCTGCTCCCTCACACATAGTGTGTGGCCACTCAGGTAGAAACCACCTGGAACCTGAGACACACACTCTAATCCCGTTCCATGGGGCAGAGGGCAGGGGGTCCCAGCCAATGGGGGTCCTTGGAAAGCATGTCCCCTACTATACAAGTCCTACTATGATCAAGAGAACAGAGTCAAGAGTTAAGTCTGAAGCGGGGGACTAAGACAAGATGGCCAGAGAAGATGTCCTAGAGAGGGCGCAAGTGTGGGTCACAACTGAGATACAAAGCTGAAGAAGCACAGGGATAGGGAGAGGGGACAGGAGGGGTGGGGAAAGTGAGCACCAGAAAGGATTTGGGGGCAAATACCAGAATCTTGAAGTATGCTGATGGCAAAATTCACCAAGAGATGAGCACCCCTTAAACTAAAGGGGCAAAATGCTGCTTTATTTTCTGGATATATTACATACTTATTAAATATTTAATTTCTAAGAGAAAGCTGAAAATTTTAAAACTTTTATACTTTCCCACTTAACACTGAATTTTATAATGAAACCTATTATTGAGATAGATGCATTCATACATAGATGGTAGATAGAGCTAGAGAGAAAAAAACTGAAACTGTTTTGATTGCATGGGCATATCTTAATGCCTGCAGGCCATGAGATTTCACGATAGCATTTGCCTGGCACATCAACCCCAGGAAGATGTTCCTATCTTCCAAAGATTTGCCTTTACAAATAGACTTTGGGCTGATGTGCAGTTATGTCAAAGAAGATCTCAAGCTGAAAAACAAATACTTTGAAATCATAAAGCAATCTGTACACAAAGCTTCATACAGCAAGCCTGGCAAGGTGAATGATAAAAGATCTTGGATTGCAGCTTTGTTTCTGGAATGTTGTCATGAATCTAAGTCGGCAATCGACAGAAGTGCAAGTCCTCCATTTCTTAGACACCTGACTCATGCTTTTCACTCAAACTTAAGAGAGCAGGCTTACACCTCTGTCAACTAATCCCTGTACATATATTTCTTATTAGGAGACTGGGGGTTCTTTGTAAGAGAGAGACCAAAGACCACATGCTTCCATCTGGGTTGGAGGACTAAACAAGAGAATCAACCAAGGCTCCTTCCAGTCTAGCATCTGTGATTTAAAATTCAGATCTGAATATATTCTGCTCCCTTCAAAAACTTCCAAATGGTGCTTCTGTGTGATTCACTCCCACATTTAAATCTCCAGTCTCAAACCCCACCCACCCCCCAGGATTGTTATATTTTCAACTGCTGGGTAGATATTCCCACCTACAGTACCTATGGCACTTCAGTCCTAAAAATGTTTAAAACCTAACTCATTCCCTTCCCCTTTCCCTGCTCCCTCCCCCTCATAAACTACTGACTGCTCCTGATTTCCAGTTGCTGTTCATGAGAGCACTATTTTCTTGGTCATTTTTCTCCTTGATATCCAATAACTTAA